TCTCGATTATATATATATAAAGATCAGGATCATCAATTTTCTTCGAGTTTCGATCAGTGCGTAAAGAACACAATCAATGTTGAGCAACATGTTATTTGTATTCTTTTCTGTCATTTCTGTTAGGGTTGGTTAGCAAGCTAGGTATTTTATCTGCTTATTGCTTGTTAAGGACTAACTGCAAATTATTCTTGGTTACCTGCAAGAAAATTAAATATATACAGGCATGGAATGACCACAAATTCCTCTGTTGCTTCAGCTGCAGTTAAAAAAGTACACCTGGATGAACAGACCTGGGTGCACAACAATCCTCCTCTTCCTGCAAATTAGAGTGTATTAAGAAGCATAATGTGATGGTGGTCGTGGTGATGGTGGTTGTGCTGATGGCGGAGGCCCTGTTCTTCATAGACACTGTGTTCATTGTACCTATCTCCATCGGTTCCGGCGTATTCGTGATGCCACAGGCCGTAACATTGATATTTTTGGTCCATGGTGGTGCAGTCCGCATCAGTTTGGCAGGCAGGTATATATCAGATATAATCGATGTTTTCCTTGTTTTTGAATAACATAAATTATTACAGTACCTGCATGAGTGTGTCCATTAGTGGCATGTCTTTAATTGGTTGATTTAAGGCAGGATTTAATTTTAGGCTTGCATTTGATTTTTACAAAGTGTGTCGAAAGAAATTAGATGATATATACTGTATCATATACAAACTGCTTGAAGTTATCAAACTCTGATTTCCTTGCTTCGGCAAATAAATTGTTGAGAGATTGTCATTCTGGTGAATGAAAAGGACTGCATACAGATGAATAATGTATAAAATATGGGAGGGGTTGGAAAATGTATAATTCTAAATTCATAGGTGCAGTGCTAAAACCATAGTAAGCAATCTCGTACCCAGAGCAATGCCTGTGCGCGGGCTAGGATGGCATTGGCTCTGGGGAATTTGACAACCGGAACCCCTAAATTTAGGGGTTCCGGTTCTTTGTCGGCATGCACGATTGATAAACGTTAAACCAATCACAGCACAGGAAAAATTCAATTTCCCCAGAGCCAATGCCATCCTAGCCCGCGCACAGGCATTGCTCTGGGTACGAGATTGTGTTGTAACAGTATACAAGACTATACAACACCATATAAGGCTATACGGCACCATACGACACTATACAACGTTATACAAGATTATACAACAATATATAAGGCTATACGACACTATACATATATATATATATATATACATATATATATATATATATATATATATATATATATATATATATATATATATATATATATATATATATATATATATGAATGGGTGTGAGGTACCATGACTGGATACAACCTCGTTCCCAGGGCTTTTCCCTTTTTGTCATTGGGAAGGCGGGAAAAGGCCCTGGCACCGGCCGGTCTTCTATGTATTCTGATTGGTCAATGACAAGTACATTATTATGCAAATAATGCAATCTTGGATTAATTTATTCAAACTTTGGGATAAATTAACATTTCATGCAAGGAGTGATCATTATTAATACTTTGTCCGTCTAAGAAATATTTTTGGCAAAATCTGTGGCAAAATGGTTAAATTCGATAAGATTTATATACAATTTGTCGAAGGTTAGTATTATTGTTTGTTTTAAACTGTGAGAGAAGATTAATTGTGTACTAGAACACACCTCTGAGGCTCTGACCGAGTATTTAGGGCAAAATGTGCCTTCATATTTGGCTTCGTATAGCGTTTAATACCGTTTATAATGTTTATATTTATAAAACCAAAGTCTGGGTTTATAAACTGAAACACGACCTTTAGTTTTTGATATTCTTCATAGTCGAGTTTAAATTGGCCTAATTTATAGTTAGTTGCCACTGGAAATGCGACGATATTTTGTTATATCATATATGCAACAGTGTTTACAACTTTTGAATAATATGTGATTTGGTTTTGTTTCAGATACTATTACATGTTGCTTCATTTTACCATAAATTGTGTTAAAAAAGTGATTTGCTCATTTGGCCGATGTTACAGTTTTCTGATGTGTTTTGTTTGGATGATATTAGAACAATTTCAACATGAAAGTGCAGGTGTCTTTAGACATTAGCCATAATGTATATATCAAAATACTGATAAAATCCGTTTCCAGCTTGATTGTATTTGCATTTGTTGTATTTGCATTGTTGCAGACAAAGTTGTGCAATGGTGGGCTTATGTCACATACTCGTATGTAATTCCACTGCTAATAATATTCCAGAAAATCCTGCCTCTTGGGCAGATTTGGACTGATTTGTCAGAGGGGGTTGGAGGTTTTCTACTTGTGATCGGGCAAGGGGAGCTAAGCCAAGGGTGCTGGGTCAGAGTCAAACTCATGTGAACAGCTTCTAAGTCCTAATTCTATTGATAAATTATGTACACTTTGGGATGGTAATGCAATTTGCAAAATATTCCACATTTTATTTAATAAAATTTAATTATATTCATTGTTTTTGTTGTTTATATTAACACCTTGGACAGTGTATTTTCACACCTTTGGAGGGTTTACCCATTCTAAGCCAAAGACGTTTAAGAACAATTATCAAGGTATTTGCATGATAAAATATATTTAAAACTGCTCTCCATATACATGTAATGCATGGTTCAATTCTTGCTTTTACCAAGTAAACCCAGGGATTTTCAATGTCCCCCTCCTCCCGTAGAGTTCACTTGAAGTGACTGGGGCAAGGTAGGTATAAGTATAAGTAGTTATATTAATTTAATTAAAGTCAATTAAAATTTACAAATTGAGCTTTTTGAATATAGAGCATTGCAAAATTTTTAAAAATTTGTTTAACCCTTTATAGTGGCAATGTCCCTACTTTAGTATATTATTCCGTCTGGTGCCAGACAATTTTACTCAAGGGCAGAATGTATACTTGCCACAAGTCGACCTCGAACGAAACGTTGGCTCACACTCGCTGCTTGCGTTTCGTTTGAGGTTGACTTGTGGCAAGTCTAGGCAGAATGCTGCCACTCAATGAGTTAATATATTCTCAGAACAATTACCATCAAATTTAATCTATTTTGCTGGCAAAATTGCCTTGGAGGGGGTCCTTGATTTGTTGAGTTTTTCTTTTTTGGGGGGGAGGGGGTGAGTGTTGTAAAAAACAGAATAGCAACTGGTTTCAGAATAGGAAGAATTGTTGTAATATACAGTAGGTAATATAATTCTAAGACAAATCATCCAAAGGAAGCAATCATTCTAGCTCTTGTAGTGTATGTTGCAACAGGGATGGATTTACTGCGGGGGGGGGGCTGTGCACTCCCCTAGCCCTGGCCAGAGTGGGTGCAGGGGGGTTATATTTTTCATGATAAAGCAAAAAATTATTACAGGCAAAATGAGATACAGTAATTTGAGTAATAACATGATGATAAGCGAGCTGTGAACAACAATTACAATAGTGAAGCAAGTTGATGGGCAGGTGGCACATATGACCAACACAAGTCGGCACCAGAGCTGGCAGAGCACCCCCCCCCCTACCAGATCATGCTGGATCCATCCCTGTGTTGCAAAATGTATTTTCTTCATAGTCAGGCATTCACATGAATGAAAATTAGAATTTCATCATGTTATATAGTCTTAAATATTTAGGAGGGGTCTCCATTATTAAATTAAGAGATTAAAAAGGGGTCCCATGACATTTTGACATAAGAATCTCCCACCCCACCCTAGGGTATAATGAATGGTCACTTAAAGTACATTCCATCTTCTAACTGGTTGGGCACCTTGCCCCTTTTGTGATGGAAAATCTATTCCCTACCTTTATCCCCTGGGACAAAAAATTCAAATCAACTCTCCACCCTGATAATGTGCAGATGGTAACAGCAAGAATTGAAGCACCCTTATGAAAAAAGTCTATAGGTGGCCTATAGGAAATGTTCCAATTCCCTATAGAAGCCAATTCCCTATAGAGCTCCATAGGATTATAGGCATCCCTATAGGTCACCTATAGAAAATGTTCCAATTGCCTATAAAAACCTATAGGTTTCCTATAGGAACCTATAGGTTGGCCTATAGGCCAAGCCTATAGACTTTTTTTGTAAGGGGCGTGAAGCAAGCTTTACTGGAGACTGGAGTACATACTATTATTAGGAAGCATCAATTCGCACATGCTAATTTGCCAGTCATGATTTTAAACGGAATATTTCTTATCTCGTATAGAATTCTTAAGGTCTTGTTTACATTTTACTGGAAGCAAACTAAGATGCATATATCCAATATTTGGGTCATATCACTCATATGTCAGTTTTGCAGCTTGCCAGCTTCAACATTTGGCTGCAAGGAAAACGTAAACAAGGAAAGAGCATATAACACTCATCTGTGTTTAAAATATCAATGAATAAATATTCCAACCATTGGCACTTTATAATATAAGTGACATTCAACAATAGATCAATAACATATACAGTATATGCAAAAACATTTCTTTGAATCACTGTATAAAATATTCCTCATAAACTCGCTCCAATCGTCGCACAGCAGAGTCTTTGGAAGGGTAAAACCAAGTTTAACATCCCCAGTTCAAAACACTTTCCGTGTCCTCTTTATAGGCAAGCCTGCCCAGCTGGAGAACATCTGTTAATTTTGTTTAGCGAACGATATTTACCAAACCCAGTTGGAAGAACAGCAACTACATAGTTCCCATGTAATAAAAGCTGAAGAATCTGATTTCGAGTACGTCGGTAGCAAAAAGAAGGAAAAATTTCAAAGACTAAACACATTTTTAAGCCGCTCTAAGCACTTAAATTTTGTGGTCACTCTTACGTTGGCGGCCATCTTGGATTTTCTAATCATTATTATTATAATTTATTACACCCACTATATCTGGGTGTTGAAAGTCATGTGACCGGCCGGTGCCAGGGCCTTTTCCCGCCTTCCCAATGACAAAAAGGGAAAAGCCCTGGGAACGAGGTTGGAAATAATCGGAAATTTGCCACTTGAGATTGTGAAAGGTTTAGATCGCGTGATCAATGATTGTCGTTTTGGGATTTTTAATAGCGAAATTATAAAAGGCTTGTAAAATGCGTGCAATCACAGTGGAGCCGGTGGCGTTTGTCTACGTTTTCGCGCTGGCTATGGCATCACCGTTGTTGCAGCAATACATATACGACGAATTGAGCGATTATTATAGTTTTACGAAACGCGAAGAGAGTAAGTTATGTGGAAATACATCCGGTGTTTCTGATAATATAACAAGTTTGGAAAATCGTATTCAAACAGAAGCATCACATTGGTTCATTGGTCTAAGTTTGGCATGTTAGTATTGTTTTGCGATTTTATTGATAAATTATTAATACTACTGGTATAAATTTATCGATATAAATATAATGAATAATTACCACTGAGATAATTACTGACTATTTCGCTGCACTGATCTGTATTTCTGTACTAAAACTGGATAACGCATCTGTAGTTGAAAAGTGAAGCTGCAATTGAATCTGCGACACCTGATTCAAGTGTCCGGTTTTCGTGTCTTTTTGTCTTTTACATTTGACTTGTTCATCCGGCCAATTTTCTTATCATGAAAATAGAAGTACAGCTGGGTAACGTCTGTTAGTCCACAATTTGTGATTTAAATATATTTCATATTTTTTAAGTTAAGACAAAAATGCAGATTGATCATTGAATGTTTTTATAAATCTCTCTTGTAGCAAGCTTGCCATCTGTATTTGCAACATTTATGTATGGGTCTATGTCTGATGCGACTGGAAGAAAACCTGTATTGCTTGTTGCCGTGTGTGGTGCGTTCCTTCGCTTCGTCGTTGTTTCTCTGACAGTTACATTTGGTATGTACATGACAATTGAATTGTTTAACTTAACAGTGTGTTAATTTATTAACCACAATGCAAAAGTTTTGCAATTTTTCAAAAATTTCCTGTGCTCCCCTTTTTGCTGAGCCTAGGGTTGCCTGTGGTCCTCCTTTTGCATTTGACCAAAATGTTTCATATCATGGTTTTATGGGTTGAAATATAATAGTTTTGACAATTTTCAGAAAGTTTGAAATAGGTTGAGGCATTTTTTCAATTTTTAAAAAGTAGTTAAGTAGGGTGCATTGGGGCACAATATAATGGGTTAATATTAATTGAAATATAACTTCTCACACACAGCTGGGAGCTGCTGCAGCCAACCGCTGCAAAAACAAAATGTTTTTGGGAGCTGCTGCAGCCAACCGCCACAAGCTTGACATTTATTAGCCAACACAGCCAAAAATATTACATATGATTACAAAAGAAAAAACAACCAACAAAATTATCGACCTAGAAACACGAGTTCCTGATACCAGGTTTAATTAAAGAAAACTACGTATAAATAAAGTTACTAAGTACCCCCAAAAACATGCTAGGGTGGGCGGGTGGGAACAGGTCAAGCAATGGCGGAAGCAACAACAAAATGTGCTTCCCCAACCCGCACTGCCCGATTATAATAATCGGGCCGGGCCCCACAGCAATGTGTGAGAAAACATTTTCTGCTTCTTTCGTTCCTCAGCCAGCAGAAAATTATACTTTTCATCTATTGGCTCATGTTGTTTTAATAACCCGATTTTTTTTTTCATCTGTTGGCTCATGTTGTTTTTAACCTGATTTTTTTTTCATATATTTTCAGGTTGGCCGTTTTATGTTATTTTCCTGGGTTCATTTATAGAAGGTCTCACAGGATCCTTTGGAGCAATAACTGGCTTATGTTTGGCATATATTGTTGATATTACAAATGATAGTGAACGATCCTTACGATTAGGTGTTCTTGAGTTGTCCATTTTATTGGGAGCTATGGCGAGCTTTTTAACCAGTGGTATCTGGTTGAAAAATTTAGGTCAGTTAATATCCAGCCCAAAATTGTGTGGTATTTTGATTTGTCTCTTTTATGATGTTTGTGATGTTACTCTGAGTGTACAATCCACACCGGACAAACTGAAAGGTTTGCCTGACCACAGTAGGAATCAAACTTGTGACCTTTTGGATACTAGTCCCATGCTCTGCCAACTGAGCTACAAGGACTTGCTTGCCCAATGTGGATGCACTCTCAGAGTAACATCACAAACGTCATATACATCATACACATCATAAACGGTCTTGCCCAGACCGTGACAGATTTTAATGTGTGAGCTTTCAAACTTTTCCCAACCTCTCAAGTCGGGGTATTTCTCTAACTATGGCGCAATTACCCTGGCTTGCAAAGTTTGACTTTTCCAAGCTATGAGACTACATAAAAGAGTTGTATACCACACATTTTTGGGCAGCCAATGGTCAATTCTACAACACTTAGAAATGCAACAAAAATTTACCGTATTTCTTCTTGAGAGAAAGTGTGGTATGTTGATAGCTGATATGATTTTTTTAGGTTACATTCCACCACTTTGGGCAAGTGCAATACTGTTGTTCTTGGTGTGTTTCTATGTTACATTCTTTCTCCAAGAATCATTGAAAGAAAAGCAATCCTTCAACAAATTTTCATGCTTGACTAATGCAAAAAGGATCAAAGATTTCATTTTGGCAAAGAGAGGTCGATATATCAATGTATGTTTGGTACTTTTGTTCATTTCATTTTTGTTTGCAGTCTTTGACTACTTTGGTAGTATCACTGTGCTTTTTACCAAGCACTATCCCTTATGTTGGGGACCCGAAATGATTGGCTATTACATGGCAACAAAAGTGGCTTTGGCTGGTATAGGGATGATATTTGCCTTTAAAGTACTGACAAAATGTTTTGCGGAAACACTCATTGTTATTATTGGCTGTGTGTGTTATATCCTAAGTAATGTTATAGTTGGTCTTGCAAAAACTACAGCTACGATGTTCGTATCATGCATACCAGCTCTCTTGGCTGTTGCTGCTCCACCGTGTATCAGAAGTATTGCATCAAAGATGGTTGAGAAACATGATGAAGGTGCATTGTGTAGCGTTATCGCTGTCACCGAGACTATTGCCCAATTACTGTCTCCGGTTACCTTGAATTTGCTATATCCTGTGGGCTTGAATAAATTGCATCTACCTGGACTTGCATTTTTTGTTCAAGCTGGGATCTTAATGATTCCAATCATGCTCTTTTCTGTCATACATTATTTAATTCAGAAAAATACATTTGTGGCATATGCCAAGATGCCGGAATTCATTGGGGAGAACAAAGTAGAGGTTTCTGCATAAAAAAACTTATGTACTAATAATAGTGTATATGAACAAAAGTAAGCCATTTTTAACAGTAGCGTAGCCAGCCTGATGATTTAGTCCCGCTATGCAAATATTTTCATGTTCATTGACTGTGAAAGCAATCAATTTCTAAAGAAATGAATAATGGTAATAATTTTGAATTTGCATAGCGGGACTAAATTGTCGGGCTGGCTACTCCACTGATTTTTAGCCACTTATTGGCACCACAAATGTAATCCAAAGTGAAAGCATTAGCCCAATATAAAGTAAAAGCATTAGACCTAATCTTCGTCCATTTTCAGTCATTTTTTCATGTTTGAAAAAAAGGCCCAAAATTGGGGGGGGGGAAGTGGTCAACTTTTTGTCCATTTTTTTTTTAAATTGAGCTAAAAATGGATGAGTTAAGGGGTCAGTGTTAAATTTTTAGTCCATTTTTTGCCTTTTTTCATTTTTGGAAAAAGGACTAAAAACGGACAAAAAGTTAAGGGTAGTTAGCCGTAACATTTCGTCCATTTTCAGCCTTTTCATTTTCGAAAAAAATGGGCTAAAAATGGACTAAAAGTTAATTCTGAATACCTTGCTTGTATTAAAATTCATGCAGTACTAGGTGCGCAAATTTTAGTACTACACAAAATATAATCTGTGCGAAAAGCTTTGTGGTGTAATATGAGACCCTCATTGTTAAGCCTAGTTTCCATTTGGTCATTAGTTGTCGCTGGCACGACAAGTGGCTGATGTAATAGAGTGTCAACAAAAAACTCTGCAATCATTAAGACTGATTTGCATTCACACAAAAAGACTATTATTATATTAGACTATTTCACATATACCGCTTGTCGTGCCAGCAACAACTAACGACCAAATGGAAACTAGGCTTTAGTAATGCAAATCAGTTGATTTATTAACTTATTTGCATTACTATTTGCATTATGTTATTGTATTATAGGAAAATCTTTAGTTCTGGTGGTATTTTGGACTCATGCTTTGTTATTGTGAATTTTGCTTACATTGCATAATTTTGAAGCCATTTTTGAGACCACCCTGACCGCTTTTTGATTAATTTTTTTATAAATGCATTAATTGTTAATAGTTTGTTCCAAAAAGAACGAACACAGAAAATTACTTGCACAAATTTAAAACTGCATGAATAAGGTGCACGAAATTTGCGAATTTGCAGTAAGCTGAGCGAAAATTAGCACAATGCAAAGAGAAAGGCTTGACCAATCAGCGAGATTCTTTTGTAAATACCCACTAATCAGATTTTTCTATTTAAGCAGAAATAATAGCATTCCAGAAGAATAAATTATATTCAAATTTAGGATTTTGCACAGCTCTATATTTCACTCGAAGTCTTTGCCTGTCTGTCAAAAGAAGTACTTTAAAGATCAAGATACAATGCTGAATTAAACAGCAAAGAAGCACAAAATCTGAAGTTAAAGGCAAGGTTAAGGTATGTTCTATCAATTTGATGTGAAAAGTTCAAGGTTAACTCCTTAACTTTTTGGCCATATTTGAGCCCCAGGGATGGATCCAGCATGATCTGGAAGTGGGAGGGGGCTCCGGTGCCGAGTTGTGTTTGGTCATGCATGTGTGCCACCCGCCCATCAACTTGCTTGACTTGCAAAGTCTTGTTGACTACTGTATTTGAATTGTAATTGTTGTTCACAGTTCGCTTATCATCATGTTATTACTCAAATTACTGTATCTCATTTTGTCTCTAATTATTTTTTGCTTTATCATGTAATAGAACCCCTTAACTTTTCAAGCATTTTTAGGGACCGGTTAATAACGGGAGGTGGGTGGTGGCTGTGAGTGATAAATACCAGATATTGAACATTTCTTAGAGTCGCCCCTGATCACAAGACATTTATTTTCAAGATGCCCCCCCTCCCCCCAACATTTAATTTGTTACATTTTTTTGGTGTAAAATAGGTAATGGGATAAGTACTGGCATAGAATAAAGATCCATACAGAAGGGCCACTTATGTCGGAAGTTTCTGTACTTGCGTTCTATGTCTCATTATGCATGTTGGCCGCCATTTTCCTAGCCAGTAATGACATTTTCTGGCATTAGCCAGAAAAACACGCTGTACTGGCTGGCTGCTCTGCCTTCTGGCCAGTAAACTGCATATTTTTGCATAAAAAAATGAGGACACATTGCACTGAGTGGCCCTTCTGTTACTGATCTTAATTCTGTGGTACTGGTGTAAGACATTGTGTAGCCTAAATAATTAGAGAACCAGTATTCAAAATGGTTGTTATTTACTCTGAGACCTATGGTGAACTGTATATACATAATAAACTATGGAAACTAAGTATTATAGGAACTAAGTATTTAAAAAATTGGAGTTGCCCCTTGTAACATATTTTTCAGGTTGAGACTGCCCCCTTGGGATTCAGGCAAAAATAGTCGAAGCCAGCCCCCTTTTCTCACCCAAATTATTAATGACCACTCCCTTTAATAGCCCCTTTTTCAAAAATGAAAAATGGCCAAAACAAAAACAACCCACTGCCTCAAAACCCTCTGCCTCGTCATGCAGCAAACTCCTAGCCTTCTGTAACAACGGATGTCGAAAGCAAACTAATTTCTTACTATAGACCAGCACGCTAGATATCTCATTGCTTCATAAAAAGGCATCGAAGTAGACCAGTTTGATAACCAACAACTTTTTCGGCTTCCCGTTCCGATGCCAGATAATCAGAGTTTCCAATTTTGAAACACCGCTTGGTGAATTTAATTCCTCGATGCAATGTAGGTGGTTTTAGCTCCATCAGTTTCTAAGTATTTTAGAAAGCGTATGTTATGTACATTCTGTGAAAAAAACTAGTTACAAATTAAAACTGTTTTGGCAGTTTTGCTGACATTACTTTCTATCCAGTGCTGTATATAGCTCAACAACTTCGGATTTTCTCGTCCTTAAAATTAATACTGTATTTTTGTTGATTTTAAAATGTTTAGTGAGCAAAAATTGTTGTGTTACAGTCGTGGATTGGTGAAACAATATGTGAAAAGCAAAAATAGCGAAGGTAAAGAGATTAAAATTGGATTTAGTGTGTGTTTTTTGAAATATTTTACCAACAAACCAAATATGGTAGTTGGTAGTCCCCCCCCCCCCCGTCCATGACAACTGTGACGTCTTACATACGGGACTTTGGGCTGTGCTTTGGGGGCGGGTTTTGGCGGGAAAATATGTAATGTTTGGAGAAGACAAGATGGCGCCGGTTACTTCGTGTCATCAAAGGGCATTTTTGTTCACAAATATACCCGCTTATTTTACGTTATAGCGACTGGTTAGTTTTGGAAATTATAACTCAATGGACAGGGAAAACGATTCTGTATTAAAGAGAAAAAGATGTGCAGTTATTGTGATGTTATTTGTTGTGAAAGACGGCCCGAAATTTCGCTACTTCGCTGTACTGGTTTATAAAACATTTACAAGCAACAGCAATTGAACTATATGACAAAGAAATCAATGTATACAAGCCAGTAAAGTTCTTCAGTTTAAAGGTCAGTTTACTTTTTAATAATTAGTTCATTTAGTTGTATTTAATACGAATTACGAAGTATTAGATACTAGTAAAAACTTTTTTATACGAAGTGGCTGTTCGTACTGGAACAGTACGCCGAGTTTGATTTGCTATTCGTACTGCAATCGTAATATTTACGATAAACCTGACCCCAAACCCTTCCCTAACCAATAAAGGCCTAATAAACTATTTGAAAGTTTTTTATTTCGAGAAAAAAAAATTAAAATATTTTAAGAAAAATTTCTAAGTCAAACAGACAACCGACGGCTAAAACTAAACCCGGACCTGACCTCGTTTCACTTCACGCACGCAACGCCTTTGCTGAATCCACTACCAGCCTTGAAAGCTATTGCAAAAAACTATTTTAGGCCACATAAAAAAAGTAGTTGGTTAGCGTCCTTAGCTTTTGCCAAAAAGTGGGCGGGCGGGTGCTTTTTTTAAAATTTTTACTTATTTTTAATGTCTTGGTTTTAGGTCCGAAACTGGATTTTCTTGTGCAGTACAGATATTTTTTTATATATTGGGTCGTTCCATAAAAGATCCATCCCCCCCCCCCCCACGGAGGAAATTTTTGCTGTCCGAAGGGGGAGGGAGGAAAAATGTCTTAGGATGTCCGAAGGGGGGGAGAGGAAAAATGTCTTAGGATGTCCGAAGGGGGGGAGAGGAATGTGGATATGTTTGTCTGAAGGTTTGAGACTGTGATAAAGCTATGTGATCGGCGATTATAATGAGCACGCAATTTTTATCGGCTATATGTAGCTCTTGAACACCGGAACGTTTATGTAACAGCAATAATTATACGTCCACGTAACTCGTAAGCAAAATAAGCGGCCCACTTTTGCATGCATGGCCACCAAAAACTAACTCGCTGTAACAGCATATCCTGCATGTTGAGAATGAGTCGAAAATTGACACGCTTTATTTATATAGTCTATATAGTTTGCAGTTTTCGTTCGTATATATAAGTTTGAATTATTCAAGTGTTGAAAATAATTATAGTTATTAAACTGTTGCTCGAATTAAGAGACTGCTATGTGAACTGAACTCAAAACAATTTGTTTTGGTATATAGTCAATAAGGCTTCCTTGCAATTTGTGTGTCTAGAAAATAGAAATGGCTTTCATATTAAGGGCGAGGTTAAGGAATGCCGTAATACTAAAAAATGCATTAACCTGTAAGTAAACATAGCAACGCTTGTCAATCAGTCGCAAATTACATCGAATTTCAGTCATCGAATTTTACTTGAACGAATTTCAAAGTGAATTTCTGCAAATTATCCGACAAAACCTGCCACATGTTTGTGTTCGCAAGTCACAAGAAGCCGCCAAGTGTTCTGCCACGCCGGAGCTATTTGAAAACAGCGTAGAAAAGACGCAATAAGCCATCGCTAATTCACTTTGCGCTGGAGCGAAATCGTTTGAAAAATTTAACATCAGTTTTGCTGTAACAATTTGAGCACGGTTTCTAAACGGAGCGAGGTGAAAACGGCGGAGCGCTTGATAGCTTCCTGTGAACACCAGACGTGTAACCTCGAATGCTTTTCAGTTAAATTTCTTGGGTCTATTTGAAATATTTTGGGTTTACATGAGTGTTAATTCAATTTGTAAACAAACTGTAATGGCGGTAGTGTGAACACACGTAAATTCTGCCCGCATTAGTTCGCTTGTGCGTAGTGTGAACGTATGTAGTCTAATTTTCGGTGACGTCTTCAAACGGCGAGGTAGCCTTTAGCAAAATTTAGAAATAGTGGATGTCCGAAGGGGAGGGGGGTAATTTTGGGCTTTGAAGTCCGGAGAGGGGGGGAGGATGAACCATTCAAGGATGTCCGAAGGGGGGAGGGGGTTATTTTCGATTTCCTCCGTAGGGGGGTATGGATCTTTTCTGGAATGACGCATTTCAAAATATGATTCATACATTAATTAACACAATTGACTACAGTCAACAGAAATACTACATATATTAGAGCCTGTTGATCAATAAAAGTTGGTTTTTTTAAATAAAAAATTTAAAAAAACCCTGAGCGGGGCCTTTTTTGTGGGCGGACGAGGATGCTAACCAACTATTTTTTTATGCAGCCTTATATTACTACCCTACAAAATGTAAGAATCGGGTGCCATACTTCAGTACAATTATTGGGTCATACTAATTACCGATAACGCTTGCAGGCCTTAAAATATCTTTTACAGGGCCGTCTGACAAAATGTCCGGTGACGTTGAATTTGGGTCGGACATATGTCCGATGACCTTCAGTTCAGTTTTGACTCGGAAATAAGTCTGAATGACACAAATGAATAAATGGTAAATGTTGTAAAGATATTAAATAATTTGTTCCTTTCATACTTATTTCCAAGCCAAAATTAACTTGCTTTCCAGAACAGCAGTATTAAAAATAGACTTCGACAACTTAAGCCCGTTTTCCACTTCACCATTTCGCTCGCCGCCCCGCGCTCGACTACGTAAAAACAACATTTCCAGTTCACCTTTTATACAATAGTACTCTGATTTTCCATTTAACATACAAGCCTCTAGTCCTGGGCTAGGGTACATTTTGATTTACGTCGGACAAAGCTACAGTTCGGTCGGACACCAATACACTCGGGTCGGACAAACAATAAACCTCAGTTTCACCTTGGTCGGACAGAATGTCCGGTGGTTTCCTTTCTACGTCGGACAACTTCACGAATGGGTCGGACAATGTCCGTGACCGACCGATATTTTAAGGCCTGCAAGCAGACGATTACCGACAACAAGCTGACAATTACCGACAACAAGCTGAAAAATACCGACAACAAGCAAATACATACTTTCATTGTATTCTTATAGTTATTTGGTTGTTTTTGAGGAAACCCAAAATATATAAGTTCGACAGATTTTGTCAAACATTGTTGAGTTAAAACATTCCGCTATTAAAGATGACGGATTCGTGTAGGCAGACGCCATATACCGTCGATTGCAACTAAGCGTAAACATGTCATGAGAAAATGCATCCAATTGGCTGTCAAACATGATTTTTTTTATTTCAAACATCACATGATTTTACTGCAAACATTTACGTTTTAACTGTCAACTGTCAATATTCCAAATTTAGAAGCACATTCATATTGGGCGGGGATTAGCTTGCAAACACTAAATCTGCGATTAAATTCGTCTGAATTAAATTGGATGTATGAAACATGCCTTAGCAGGTGAAGTTCTAACATGCTGTGAGTTTTGCATTTATAGTGGACAAAGTATTGTCAGTATTGTTTGCAATGTTTGTACTAACTACGTTTTCGCGGGAAAAAGAATTATAAACCGTCCAATGTTTGCAGCAAAATCATGTAAAGTTTGAAGTCCAAACAAAATTTCAAGTAGAAAATCAGTATTAACTACCCTATTATCTATAATAATATAACTACCAACTTCTATAAAGTGTGTATGTGTATACTGTATAATGTGTCTAAAATGTTTAATAGTAACAAGCAAAAACAAGCTATAAATTATTTACATCAATTCATGTATGTATTTGGGTTTCCTCAAAAACAGCCATGCATTCATACAAATAACTATAAGAATACAATGAAAGTATGTATTTGCTTGTTGTCGGTATTTTTCAGCTTGTTGTCGGTAATTGTCAGCTTGTTGTCGCAGTAATTGTGTGCTTGTTGTCGGTAATTGTCAGCTTGTTGTCGCAGTAATTGTGTGCTTGTTGTCTGTAATTGTCTGCTTGTTGTCGGTTGTTGATGGTGGTTGTCGGTAATTAGTACGACCACGATTATTATTAGTTCAATCGAAAAATAATTTATTTCGCATTTGGTACGTTTTACGATTGATCACGAAGATCAGCAGATATTTCTATACGCTTGCTAGATATTTACTATTGAATTTTCCAAACTTTCCAGTCAGGCAAAGTTCTACCCCACACCATGGAATTTCATTTCAGCACCCTATATCATTCTAGAATGTCTGTATTAATCATTTCAGCAACTTCGGCTAGCTTGCACTGTTTTTGCTAAATACCGCTCACAGGCTGTTGTCCAAGGGGGGCACCCTCTGTCATTTGCCCTCTATGCAACTTTGCTGACCCCATCCCTGCAACTTTGTGTTGTAGTACGATTATTGTATGTGACTTTTCCAGCCGAGAGATATATTAGACCCTCTTTCTACTTTTTTTTACATTGCCTTGGTCACACTTTGAACAGGATGCGTACCATCGCATTGTGTAGATCAGGGGTCTTCACCCCTTTTTTTCGGCGACCCAAACCCAAGCTTCATAGGTGTCCCGCGACCCTGAACACTGCCAATAAAACTTTCGATAATTAAAAACATTATGGCTTTTCACCGAAAGCTTCCGAGTGTATGACGGCGACTCTACTTCGGAAGACGACGTGCGCCGAAGGCGCGCCGAGTGGTGCTAAGCCATAATGTTTGAGTTACATGAAGTAAAAGGTATTATATCTAAAGCTTTACCAGTTTACCTGTTTACCATATTATTCTAGCAATCTAGCGCTTGAGTGCTTCATAATAATCGTGAAAAAACATTATAATCGCAAATTTCGCAAGGAAATATTCATATGTAAATATGTGCATCTTATCACTTGATCTCTCGTCTTGTAAAGTTTACTAGTGTAAGTTCGCGACCCTAGACAAGCATTGCGACCCATGCGACCCAAGACAAGCCTTGCGACCTTCGAGGGTGTGCTAGCGACCCAATTTTGGGTCGCGACCCATGGTTTGAAGACCCCTGGTGTAGATGGGCCTTAAAAGGCATTTAACCAGACTAGTTTGATATACCAACAACTTTTCCGCTTCCGATACCAAATTTCCCAATTTTGAAACACCCCTTGGAGAATGTAATTCCCTCGATGCAATGCAGGTGGTTTTAGCTCCATTTTTTAAGCATTTTATAAAGCGTAATTCTATGTACGTGCTATGAAGCTAGTTTTGTTGGCATGATTTTTTTGAAAATTTCAGCGGCCATGCATATTGTTCAAGCCAAAACAAGCTAGGTTACATCATGGATTGTAAAATAACATTTATTTTATTATCCATGGTTATATGAAGTAAGGTTTGAACGCAGAGGTTTGAACGTAAGAAATTACTTTCTATTCAGTTCTGTATACAGTTCAGTGGCTCGGACAACTTCAGATTATCGCCCGAAGACCTGGGAACGAAGTTGCCGAATGAAATAAATTAATACTTCATATTAATACTGTATTTTTGTTGATTTTAAAATGTTTAGGGAGCAAACATTGTTATGTTACAATCGTGGTTGGGTCAAACAATATGTGGAAAGCAAAAGTAGGGAAGGTAAAGAGATTAAAATTGGATTTAGTGCGTATTTTTGAAAAAAAATTGCCATCAAATATGGTATCCCCCTCCCTCCTCCACAACACTTGTGACGTCAGTTACATACGGGACTTTGGGGGCGTGTTTTGGCGGGAAAATCTGTAATGTTTGGAGAAGACAAGATGGCGCCGGTTACCTCGTGTTATATCAAAGGGCATTTTTGTTCACAAATACCCGCTTATTTTACGTTATAGCGACTGGTTAGTTTTGGAAATTATAACTCAATGGACGGGGAAAACGATTCTGTATCAAAGAGAAAAAGATGTGCAGTTATTGTGATGTTATTTGTTGTGAAAGACGGCCCGAAATTTCGCTACTTCGCTGTACTGGATTATAAAACATTTACAAGCAACAGCAATTGAACTATATGACAAAGAAACCAATATATACAAGCCAATCAAGTTCTTCCGTTTAAAGGTCAGTTTACTTTTTAATAATTAGTTCATTTAGTTGTATATTAATACGAAATACTGGAACAGTAGTTTGATGCCGAGTTTGATTTGCTATTTGTACTGTAGTCGGAATATTTAAGATAAGGTATGGATAAACAGACCCCAACCCCTCTCTAACACTAACCAATAAATGTGTAATGAACTATTTGAGAATTAAAAAGGTCACCTCGTCCAGGGGGAAAAATTTTAAAATATTTTAAGAAACATTTCTACGGGGCTGTTTTATATGGAAGCAGGGTTGGCCCGGTAAGCAGGATGAATTTTGCTTGCGTTTAATAGGTATCCGGTCGTTTCGCCCCCAATTCGTTTCGCCCCCAATTCGTTTCGCCCCCAGTCGTTTTGCCCCCAAGTCATTTCGCCCCCAAGTCATTTTGCCCCCAAGTTAGCTAGTGAATTTAATATCTCTTACAAATAAACAAACTCACCCATATTTGCGAGTATTGTGGAGATATGGATCAAACGGCAAACGCACAAAAACCTGTTCACTACGTAACATTTCAAACTGAAACAAAAGCGCAAAAAGGTTTGACAAAGTCTGTAATCAAAGCAGTCATTAGTTTTTACAATGGACGAAAAAATCGCACAGCTTGCAAATAGTTACTCGGTGACAATGACAACATTTATATGTCTGTGTATTCTTGACTATATTTTTAATATATCCATCATTTGAAGTTGTTTGGCAACAAAACGTTGAGACGAATCGACTTAGCCACTTGGGGGCGAATCGACTTGGGGGCGAAACGACTTGGGGCAAATCGACTTGGGGGCGAAACGACTTGTATTCGTTTAATATATGAGGAAATTTTATCCTGCTTGCTGTGCTAGAAATTGTTTACAATGCACTCAATTGGCTTTCCCGGGACAACTTTCAAAATTAATTTTTGCTTCAAAACTCACTATTTTGTAAACATTGAAGGGTCTCTGTAAAGAACAAAATTAACCGAAACCGGAAACAATCGAAACCGGAAATTTCCACCTAATTTCCCGCATAAACCTGTGCATAAACAAATTAATTATATTGTTGATGCTAGATCACTGGCATGCCATTTAGATAAATATCCTCCGAAATTATGTCACAAGGTTGTATACTATTTAACTGCTGACAATTTTGTAAATTATTCAATAATCTTATTGCATCTTCCTGAACAATGCTGGTTTTGTAAAAACGATATTGCATTCACTTTCTCGTTTGACATCCGATATGGCTTCCACTAAAATGACACGCTCATGATTTCAAAAAAAAAAAATACATGCTCATTTACATGTTTCCAAATCCCAATTTATCTGACTGCATTTTAATGGTTCAAATATTCAGAACTTTGTTCTTTCAATCACAAGTAGTACAAGTATTATTGCATTCAATGGTAGTATTTTATTCAGTGTTTCAACGATCAAACTGCACGGTAAAACTTCCGTCTCTAAGCTCAACTGTGCAAGTCGCAGTATTTGCAACCTTTTGTTTTGTCTCTTTTACCTATGTAATGTCAAGAACTATAAAAATAATTGCAGAAAAGACTTCACACTATCGAAAATATTTCATCCTGGCAACCGGGCCAAATTTTCACCTCGGTTGTCCGTATAAACGCACAGGATTTTTTAAATTCTACTACACAGCAAGATCTCGCCAAGTGGGCCAGCCCAGTCCAATATAAACAGCCCCTATGCCAGATGCATTCCATGTAAAGTCTATGCCGAAGATACGCCAATATTAACTATAGGTAGTATTTCACGCCGAAGATCTTTGGCTTAGGCCACTTAAAATGCACCCTGGCCCCTATGTCAAACAGAAAACCGATGGCTAAAACAAAACCTGACCCCCAACCTCGTTTCATTTTGCATCCACGCTATGCCTTTGCCAAATATGCTACCAGGCTGAAAGCTGTTGCAAAAAACTGTTTTATATTACTACTTTACAAAATGTAATAAATTATTGGATGCCATACTTCAGTACGATTATTAGTTCGATATTAATAATTATTTATAAGCACTATTATACAAGAAATGTCAACAATGAATTTTCCTTCAATGGTTGCTTTTTATTGGTCAAAAGTTTAATATTGTTTTGACAAGAGAAATGTTTCTCAACAATTTTCAGAAATAAGTTCTTTGAATAATTATTTTTGTTTGTGGAAACACCACGTTATTACTGCAAAGCTTTCGATCCGTAAGCCTGGATCTTCATCAGTGCACATATTATTAGCACTGATGAAGATCTGGGCTTACGGATCGAAAGCTTTACAGTAATAACGTGGTGTTTCCACAAACAAAAACAATTAATTTTCAGAAAGTTTTAGAAGACTTCTAGAAGGGGTTTGTTTTTAATTGGGCTATTCGATTTAAAAGACGTAACCCCCCTATCGAGGACAATGGTTTTACCATATCTCTGAAGAATTCCTGAGATAGAAGAGATCCCCTGAAGAATTCCTGAGATAGAAGAGATCCCCTGAAGAATTCCTGTTAATTAAATAGCATTTACCCCTGAAGAATTACAATTTTTACATCTGACCCCTAAGGAAATTGCATTCGAAATAACGAACCCCTGAAGAATTCCATAGGAGAATTTGTTTACCCATGAGAAATTTGGGAGTTAAAAAGGGCGGTTCTGGATATTAAATGGATAGCCCAATTTTCTGGAAAATTTCCTGGTTTTCCCTGCAGCTTGTTTATAAACATGATGATAATTTTCCAGAATTCTTGTCTGGTTCAATAGAAATTTTATTTTCCAAAGTTTTAAAATAAACAGAAGTGCAGATGTACCCAAAACAGCTGGTTAAATTTTAACCCACAAGTAGCACTAATCCAGCTAAAGCTTTGAACCACTGGCCTCAGGGGCCGGTTTTTCAAAGCTGGGTTAGCTTAACCCTATTTTAACAACTAAAATTCAAAGCAAACTTCCTTTATCAGTCGAAAGTGATTATTTAGAACTGAATTTATAAAAGTGGTGGGAATCGAACCCGCAACCTTTGGGATACTAGTCCAATGGTCTGCCAAGTGAGCTATGTGGTCAAGTCTGTTTGAGTTGATGATATTTCAGAACCGAGTCTAGTTCCTTCGATCATATCATAGAATACACTGATATCGAAAGAACTAGTCTTCCGAAATATCATCAACCGACTTGACCATGTAGCTCAGTTGCCAGAGCATTGGACTAGTATCCCAAAGCTTGTGGGTTCGATTCCCACCATGGCCAAGCAAACTTTTCAGCTGGTGTGGATATACATTCAGAGTAACATTGCAAACATAATTTTCTGAAAGTTTTGACGATTATTTTGGGGCAGTACACAGTGGTCCCCAGCCTAGGGTTGTCTTTACCAATGCCAATATAAATCTTATTGGCATAGAGAATTATACATTTGGCATAACAATTTTGTATGGTGCATTCATTCTATTGACCAATCAGGGAGATTCTTTTGTAAATACCCACACCAATCAGAAGTCTGTATTTTTATGCTAAAACAGAAATTAGCATCCCAGATAGTAAATTATATTCAAGGCGTGTTGCAGCTCTATATCCTGCCGTTGCAAGTTGCTTTGCGTTTGATGTTTGTTCTGGGATAAAATATTGAATTATACCTTAAGGTGGCTCGATATAGTTATCACAAAAACCCTGCTCACTAAGAGTCGCGAACTCAAAACCGGGTGATCATTTTTACGCGCAGGTCGTGGAAACTGATTAACAAAATGAAAGAACTTCTAAAATGACCTGACGTCAGCAGTTGGTCGCGCCATATCACGTCATTGCGTGTGTTCTATAGTGTTTTATGTCAATTGCTGACGTCATTAGAATTTTCCATTATAGAAAAACAATGCGCTATATCTCTTTATTTTGTCTGGTGACCTATGTTCAAATTTTGCATGCTGTGTATTGCACCGCTAAAAACTTTCATTATACAAAAAATAAAAAAATTCTGTAATGCCAAAAAAAATTTACCGAAGAATATGACATTTTCGCATTTTCCAAAAAAATGGCATTACAGAATTTTTTTATATTTTGCTAAATGTTAGCTTTTCATCGAAGTAACATAATGCACGCAAAAAAATTGGGGGTCACCATGCTTTTTTTCCAACTATACGAGACGATAGGCCATTTTGGAGTGAATTTCGTACACGTATGTCGTCATAGCAACGAACTATATGTTACTAAGACTTATATAATTTGAAAGTTGAGATATCAAAATATATAAAAACCTCAATATCTGCTGAATAAATCCTAAAAATGCGTAGTTTGAACATGTCAAAGTGTTGAACACCTGAATTTTTGAAAACTGTATCGAGCCACCTTAATTAATTTAAATTAATAATGTTTCGTGAAGTTTAGTTCAAATTAATAGAGAGATGAGTGCATAAAGTATTTAGGGTATTTTGAAGCTAAATTTGTTTTAAAATTCGTCATTTTAGTGAAATGGTGTGGAGCACAATGCGTTCTTTTCTACTTGTCCTGGTTGTTGTAAAGAGACATCGGGCATTGTAATGAATAGATGAAAATGTGTAGCTGGCAAACCTACACCATGTGCATTTCTTGGTGGATATCTTGGGCAAATGTGCAATATGATAGATATCTTGGGCAAATATCTTGTATAAATTTGTACATTACCTTAAATTACTAAAGAAGGATGATGTTTTAAGGTTAGTGGATATTTATAATAGTGATAAAATGGGGGTTCCCTGTGAATAGGAACGAAGTAAGGCTGTCCAATTAAGTGGAAACAATATTGCGGCATGTAACAATTTAATCTGTAAAAATTATACATGTTTAGAACATGCAAAAAGCAAAAATTGCGGCATAAATATATCACGAAACATGCTTCTTACAACTACATGCTATGTTTATAGGAATTTGAATAAGTTTTTAGTAGGCATGATTTAGGATTTTTGTTTTACTTTCATTTATGATTTTCTATAAATGCCCCAACTAGTTCATATATAATACCATAATGTATATAGATTGTAAATATATAGATTGTAATTTTTTTGATATAGAAAATAATAGAGTTCTTATACAACTACATGCTGTGTTGGGTTGTTAGGGTTGAATAAGTTTTTAGTAGGCATGATTTAGGATTTTTATTCAGGATTTTCTATAAATTTATGACTGTCCCTTCCCCC